ATTAGCCAAAAAATTCTTAAATTCTGGTTTCAGTTTTCTCAGTTGTAAATAGATATGATTCATAGTGCCCATTTTGCAGGGTACTTTAAAGAAGAAACTGTACATGAAAGTGCTTTGCAAAGTGGAAAACCCCCTGCAAGTGTGAGACTATGGTAAATGGGGGAGACTTGAAAGACAGGAAAGCCACCTTCTTGCCCAAACTAAATCCTGGAACAGGAATGGAGAGGAATGGTTTGGGAATGTGAATCATTTACTAGAAATGTTAATTGTGCAAAATCTGGAATGCTTTCCTCAAATTCCTTTAACGCCCCAAGTGGTTTGCTTCACCCACCAGCCTTTGCAGGTGATCAGCGTTACATACGGCTATGTTGGTGTTCAGTGGCTTCTCAACCCCTTGCTTATTCCTCAACCACCCTGAAGCCAGGCGTGGTCACTAGCTTGTTCTCCTTTCTTCCTTCTACTAGTTTTTCTAAGTGCCCTTTCTAAGCCAGGCTCCAAGTGAATCGCTGGGGACACAGCCATGAGCAAGACATGACATTCTGTGGGAGACAGACAATGCACAAAAATTAGTGACTTGCAATGGCAATCAGTGCTGCAAAGAAAAAAATGTAGGCTTCTAGAAGACTCTGTACCGGGGGAATCTGAGAATCATCCTGGGTACTGGCAGTGATTCCAGAAGATAGAAAGCATTGCTGTCTCAGTAATTAACCAATGTATGTTTGGCTCTGTAAAGTTTGCGAAGCACATTCTCATTATGTTTTTTTCACTTGATCAAACTCTCAACCCTGCAAGGTACACAGTATTATCACCCTGTTCTAGAAATCTAGAAACCAAGGCCAAGGAATTGAAGTAATGATCCCAGGGTCAACTGGCTCTGTCACTTACAGAACTTTCGACTCAAGCCTAGGCTCTTTCCATGCACACCTTTCTTCGGGCTTGTTGTCTTCTCTCCCTCGGAAGCTGACATTTTGAAAAGTAGCTTTGGGAAAAGGGTAGGGGGGGAAAATGCTCCCCTGGATACTATCCTGGGAGACATGTAGGTAGAGGTTTTGAGTCCCGATATGGATCTCAACCAAATGGAAGAGGAAGCCTCCCTGAGCTGGGAGAAGACGTCCTAACTGCTTTGTGTGTGTCACAGTCTTTGCAGTTGCCAATAAAACCGAAAACCCTCTCTGACCCCAAATGTCGCTCTTCCGTCTTAACCTGTGCCTAGAGGAACCTGTGTGACCAAATGGGAGTCAAAATGAAACGCATGCAATATCAGAGAGTCCGTCCTCAAACCGAGCTGCTCATTGGCATCTCCCAGGACCCAGAGCCCACGTAGTCTGCTTATGAATGGCTCATCTTGGCTCATTTTGTCTGCCATTTGTTCCATGATTACTATGTCCCAGAACTTGGTGTGTGTTCACTCCTGGAACAACCGCTGAAGCAGGTCCCAGTAGTATCTCCATTCCCCAGATGATGCAACTGAGGCTCAGAGAGATGAAGTAACTTGCTCAAGGTCAGACAGCTTATAAGTTGAAAAG